CTCGTCGTTGACCCCAGTCAACGCGCTCGCCTCCGCCCTGTGCCCGTGGCTGCCCGTCTGGTCGTTGACCATAGTCAACGCGCTGACCTCTGTCCTGTGCCCGTGCCTGTCCGCCTCGTCGTTGACCCTAGTCAACGCGCTCGGCCCCCCCTGCCGCTCCCACACAGTCTGCCCGAAAACCTCCACAAAATCGTCGTCCGAGTCAACTGATGGACGCGAGTCAGCCTTGAGTCGCGCTAACACGTCTAGAGACTGCTTTACCCGCTGCGCCTCCTGCGTTCTTTGGGTCGCATTAGCCTTTTGACCCTCCTGCGTCTGCCCAAACACCTCTACGAAATCGTCGTCTGAGTCGACTGAGGGGCGCGAGTCCGCCTTGAGTCGCGCCAGCACGTCTAGGGACTGCTTTACCCGCTGCGCCTCCTGCGTTCTTTGCGTATCCTGCGTCTGCTTCACCCGCTGAGACTCCTGAATTTTTTCCGCCTCATTCGCCTTGTGACCCTCCTGCGACCCTTGTGACTCTATTAATTGTTGCTGCGTCTGCTGTGGTGACTGCTGCTGCTGCTGTAGCGTCACTGCCACGGCCGAGCGCGACGGACCGACGCGCTGCTGCTGCGTCGCCGCGCCGCCAGCGGCGGAGGCGGCGGCGGCGGCGGCGGCGGCGGCGGAGCCGGCATTGAAAATCACCTCCAGAAAATCCTCGTCCGAATCCACTGATGGCCGGCAATCTACCCCGGGATCTGGGCGGCAATCTAACCTCACATTTGGGCGGCAGTCTTCTACCGCATTTGGGCGGCAGTCTACCCCTGCGTCGGCCGCCGCCCAATGGCTGAAGGAAGGGCGCAGAGGCGAGCCGCGTCGCTGGAACGCCGCCGCTTTGCAAATCGCTTCCAAGAAATCCTCGTCGGAATCGACGGACGGGAGAGATGCGACGCCTAGGGAGGGGAGAGAGTCAACGCCTACGGATGGACGAGAGTCAACGCCGACGGACGGGAGAGAAGCTACGCCTACGGAAGGGAGACAGTCACCGCGAGAGTCTACGTTTACGTTTACGTTTGCGCGTACGCGCTGATCTGTCACATCCCGACGACACGTCGCGAAACGCGTTCCTGCAGCGGCAGGGGGAGCGGCGGCGGCGGATGCTGCTGCGCCGTTTTGCGTCGCCGCGACGTCGCGCAGCATTTGAACGAATTCCTCGTCCGAGTCGACCGTCGCACGCTCACTGTCGCATGGCGGTGCAAGCGGCTGCCGCCTGTCGCAAGAGGAAACGGCGGATGCGGCGGAAGGGTCGGATGGGCGGAAGCGAGGGCTGCGGGGGCTTCTGGGGGAAGTTCTGGGGGAGGGGGGAGCAAACCGGCCCCTCTCCCCGCGTTGGGCGGCGGAAGCCGCGGAGCGGAAGCCACCGCGCGGGGATCGGGGGGAAACGGGGGGCTTCCGCGAACGTTCGTCCTCTACAATACTCGCGTAGATCCCCGTGACGTCCATCGAACGGCTAGGAACGTGCCGATGCTCTTTCGCGGAGCGACTATACTCTCTCCCCAAGCGATTACTACTCCGGATGCCATTGCCCTGACTGACGTCCCCCTGACGGAAACCCCCCTGACTAAAATCACCCTGACGGAAATCCCCCTGACTAAAATCCCCCTGCCTGCTGTACCGACCGTCGCCTCCCCCCTGATTAACCGAACTCCCCGCATCGCTAATGCTCTCACTATCGTAATACGCGTTACTAGCATAAATACCCGTGACGTCCATCGATCGGCTGGGAGCGTGGCGATACTCTTTACTGGAGCGACAGGTGCGAAGAGATTCCGCCTTACTGCTGGTAACGCTACTTATGCTTTCGCTAAAGTTGGACGATACGCTGGACTGACAGTCAAACGAATCTGCCACTAACGGGTTCGCCTGCGACCAGGAATGCTGCCTGGAGTGCCGTCGCATGGCCGACCCCGCACGTCGCAAGTTCGCCGTTGCACGAGTCGCCGCTTCTGCAGTCTGCTGCGCGAATGTCGCCATTCCACCGGATGTAGCCTTGCGACGTGAAACAGGCAACGGAATATCGGCAGAGGAATTACCAAGTCGTTCACTGGGCGACACTTTCGGCGACTCTTTCGGCGACTCTTTTGGCGACTGTCTTGGCGACTGAGAGTCACGCGATAGATTCGATTGCCTCGAGAATCTCCCTCTGGTAAAAGAAGACGGCGCGGTGATTGGCCCTGGCGAGTATACCGGCGAGGCGGGAGAGGGACCGTCTGGGGAGCCGCCAACTTTGACGGCTAGCCGACTGAAACGACCAGGCTTGATCAACGTAGGCGGCGCCGACTCCGACAGGGAACGTGGCTTTAAGCTGTGCGCTTGTGACCGTTGATGATGATCCTGGGACAGTTGGCGTTCCTCTGACCGTTGATCCTGCCATTGCGACCGATGATCCCCTCGCAACTCCTCCCAAACGTCATCCGTGCCGTACAAATCTGCGGCTTCCTCTCCCATCCCCTCCTCCTCAATCTCCAGAATTTCGCTCGCACTCGCACTGCTAGGGTTTGCTGAACTCTGCGTTTGTTCCTTTACGCTATTCTGTCTCTGCTGCTGCTGCAGCTGCTGTCTCTGTGACTGCTTCAGACTACACTGTCCTTGTTTCTCCTCTCCTCTACCCTGCGTCGTTCGAGTCGCCTCAAAAATCGTGACCCGCGTCGCCTCCTCTTCCCCTCTCCTTCGCTTATCTTTGTCTCGAGATGTATCATCCGCCGGGACTTGCGTTCCGACGTCTGACGAAAAAGATTCTGCGATGAAATCTTGCGATTCCGGACCGTCAGTCCCAGGTTCCCGCCTGAGCATCTCCTGAAGCTCTCGCCATCCCACGTGGCGATTTGATTTGCTGTCTGTTACCAATTTCGATTCCATATGAAGTTGCTGCTGCTGCTGCTGTTGCTGCTGCGGTAGACGGCATTGCAACTCATTCTGTCTCCTTTGCGACGGGAACCCTAACAGGACGCGCGGTTCGGCCTGGTCCAAGTAACTGACGCTTTCCATTTCCGCTGGTCGCTAAAACAGATGAATGGAAAGCTACAAGCCAGCGCCGAACATACTCGTTGGACGAGGTTAGTAGAAGTTGGAAATTCCTTCAACATGAATTGAGTCATAGCACAGCTGCGGAACAAGGCAGCAGATAATAATGGTTACGCTTTCAAATTCCGTAACCTAACTCGTGTCTCTCTCATGTCTTTCCAGATAACTCTTGACGAAAGGTGATGTGGAAACACAATTTCAGAGCGAGCGATCACCAACACAGTGAAGCGACCATTGCAGCCATTGCCGCGTTGGCAGCAGCAACCTAGAAACGTGGGCTGTGAAGTTGTTCAGATCTTGTTCGTAGTTTTGACACCAGCTGTTTATGCGTGTCAACCCAAAGCGCTAGTGATTTTGCGTGTCAATCACTGTAGCATCAGTGTCAACTCGAAGCGCACGTAGAATCATCAACGACGCATTCTGATTAGCTGGGACCTACTAGTGTATTCTATGATTGGTGCATGTCCAATCCAGCGACATTCTCAACTAGCTGTTAGGTCTCATGTAGGAAGCGGTGCGATTTTGTTGGGTGATAGGGGTGATGAGATTGCAGCTGCGACGATCCTGATTGGTTCGTAGGCATTGACTCTGTCAGAGTCAGAAGGTATCCGACTAGTTTTACTCGTTATCAATCTGCGAAACTTTGACACTCTGCCAACAATGTATGCTCGTGTCAAAATGGCAAAATGACACTGGTGTCAAAACAACGAACAATCCCTCAGAGGCTCTGCGGCTGTCTTCATCGCCTTTCCTGTCTGACCATGCTCCCTGACCGTTTTCACCCTGACCGTTCATCTGCTCCGGTGGCAGACATTTTCTGTGGGTCCGTGTACGTAACTCTCCTTTATTTCCCTGGGCAAAAGAAAACTAGCATTCACCAGTTGCTTCAAGGGCTGTGCCCCATAAAAAATTTCTGAATATCCTCACACTCATGGAAATATGTTTGGGTGAGGGAGGGGGTTGAAAAATGTCGGGACAAATCGAGAAGTAGCTCTGAAACAGGGTTTGATTGAGATGACCTGAAACATATCAAGGACTGGAAAAATCCATGGGCAACAGCAATCGCCAGAATCCACAAGGCTCATTTCTATGATGCAAGAACAGAAAGGGAACAAAACAGAACTCGAGGCATGCGGTCCCACTTCTCCTCGACTCTGGTTACGACCAGAAAAACAAATTTAACCCACTTCTCCTCGACTCCATTCCATTGGTCGTTCTCCTCCCCTCGCCAGAAGTACAGTACAGCCCCGATGCTGCAGTTTTCTTGGAATTGTCGTGTCTTGTGTGAGGAAGAGGGGTGCAGTGCACTGTGCAGCACAGCACATCCTCGGGTTTGACTTGTCTCTTCGAGCTCGCCCCTTCAAATGAATGTTTTGCTGCGGCGGAGGCGGACCATTCGTCCTTCAAAGTTGCCCCCCTGTACAGTCGGTGCTCATTTCAAGAACACCAGGTAGGCGGGCGGTATGTAAGTGAAACGAGTTTGGGTATTTCGCCACATTCGCCCTTGTCGCCACGGGCAAAAATGTGATTGTAAAATGAAATTGGAATGTGAAACGAGTCTAGGGGTTTAAGTTCGTAACCAGGTAAACAATTCTGATGACAGGCAGCCGTTGTTGTTTATGAACTGTAGATGTTTTTCTTCCTCGACTTGCCCCGAAATCAGCACAATCACCACTCACAGGCAAAACGTTCGCGAGTGACTGATTTTCTAATTGTGATGAGCAAATTTTTGTGATAGGCTGAGCATCGACTGTATGTAAGGCGGCGCGAAAAGGGACGAGTAAGACCACTCGTTTGTGGCTCTCGAAAAGGGACGCAGTGTCCTTCAATAGCCTTTTATTTCGGAGTGTACACTTCTAAAAGGCATCCACACAATCGCTAGCAGATTAGCATGCCAAAACCATCTTACTACTTCCAGCATCTCTCATGCAAATCTATTAGAACCTGGGATACCAGAACATGGCCTTTATTCCCTCTGGGTCAGCTTCGAAGCCCATGTTCTTGTAGAAGTCCACCACTGAATGAACAAATATAGCACAAAATAGAAGGAACGATATATTGCTATTGCTTAAAAAAAAAAAAAAATCGTAGGTCGAACACACACAACTACTGCACTACAACTTGCAGATAGTATTGACATCGGTACAGTACCTTGTGAGTCCGCAAATAGGGTGATGTTGCCAATATCCCGCCGCAAAAGCGCCCGAACCGTTTGCTTTACTAGAGCCTTGCCCAGGCCTTGACCCTGTCCAAGGTAATTGACGCATGGATGTGAGTTTACAGATAGTCAAATGATGCCAATAACTCGTTGCAAAACATCCAGGCGTAGACCATGTGCAAATAAATACGTGCATTGATGGGCCGGAGTGGGTGCATATACCTACATATAAGCATATAAGCCCGAACGTATGTTTAACAACACTGACAGGTGTTGTACTGATAGCATCACAGCATCACAGGTGTTTTAACAGCGTCACAGGTGTTTCAACAGCATCACAGGTGTTTCAACAGCATCACAGGTGCTTTAACAGCATCACAGGTGTTTCAACAGCATCACAGCACCTGGAATTACGAACCCAGCAGCACGTCCCAGATGGTGGCACCGAACGTGTGGCCTGACTGTGAAAGAATGAATTCTGGGCGTGTTTTCAACAACACTGTCACATGCTGGAGTGACACGTGGTCCACTGACATGTGCTGGACTGAAAGCCTAACAGTACCTGGAATGTTGGGTCCACCAGGACGTGTTTTGACTGAAAGCCCAACAGTACCTACCTGAAATCTCGGACCCACCAGCACGTCCCAGATGGTGGCATTGAACGTGCGCCCTGACGCAAAGAAATGTGCAGGTGTGACTTCAACAGCACTGGCACATGTTGCACTTTCAGCAGAAGCAGACAGCAAACAACACTGTACCTGGAATCTCGGATCCACCAGCATGTACCTGGAAGAGTGTAAACCGGGTATGGTTTCAACAACATTCGCACATGTGGTGCGCTGCCATATGTGTGTTTTCACTGAAAGCGCCACTGTACTAGGAGTCTCGGATCCACCAGCACGCCCCAGATGGTGGCGTTGAACGTGTGGCCTGACGTGATCGAATGTGTATCGAGTGTAATCCCAACAAAGTGCGCAAGACATGTGCTTTGAATTGAAGCAGCAATAATTGTACCTGGAATCTCGGATCAACCAGCACGTCCCAGATGGTGGCGTTGAACGTGTGGCCTGACGAGAAAGAATGTGCATTGCATGCATGTGATTCCAACAGAGTGCAGACACGTGCTTGATGTAGCAACACTGTAACGCAGCAACGGCAAAGACAGTACCTGGAATCTTGGGTCAACAAGCACGTCCCAAATGGTGGCGTTGAATGTGTGGTCTGACGTGGCACGGGCCATTCCTATCAGCTCCCTCTCCCCGCCCTCCTCCCCCTCTGTGGGAGAGAGGCAGAGATAACCCGAGGTGGAAGGAGAGATGGAGGGAGGGAGGGAGGGAGGGAGGGAGGGAGGGAGGGAGGGAGGGAGGGAGGGAGGGAGGGAGGGAGGGAGGGAGGGAGGGAGGGAGGTAGGATTAAGTCATCTGCCAGGAACGTTCCTCGTGCATTCTGCCCCCAAGCCAACTACTCCTGTTGCTGCAACGAGCCTGCGGCGTCAGGAAGTGTTTATGGTGACCAGGTGACAATTATGCAGCACCTACCTAGCACCAGAAGTGGTAACCAGGTGCAGTGCGGCAACCAGGCAACTGTTATGCAGCACCTACCTGCAGCACCGAGCGGAGTGGTAACCAGATGCAGCGCGGTAACCAGGTAACTGTTCCACAGTGCCGCCTCCACCTTCTCAGGGGGTCGTTTCGGCCACCCCACCTTCTCGCACAGCCGCTCCAACGCGTAAACATCCACCTCACCCCCCGCTGAAAACACTATCTTGCTGCTGCTCCCATCCTCTGCCTTACTCTCTACCAGCACCACCTCTCCGACGCATACACGTCCACCTCGCCCCCTTTCCCCCCCTGGTGAAACCTACCTGGAGCAGCTGGCGGAGTGGTAACCAGGTGGAGTGCGGTAACCAGGTAACTGTTCCGCAGCGCCGCCTCCACCTTCTCAGGGGGCCGTTTCGGCCACCCCACCTTCTCGCACAGCCGCTCCAACGCATACACGTCCACCTCACCCCCCGCTGAAAACACTATCTTGCTGCTGCTCCCATCCTCTGCCTTCGACTCTACCAGCACCACCTCACCATACACTCCCTCCTCTTCTTCCTCATCCTCGTCCCCGTCCTCTTCCCCTGAGTCGTCATTGTAGTCGTCGTCACTCTCCGGGCCGCCGCTGCTGCTGCCTCGGGATGATCCCTCTGCTTCTTCCTTCTTGTCGCCGCCCAGCAACCTGGGGAGTGGAATTGACACGGAACATGACTCACGGCATGCCACGGGGGATGAAATGGGATGTACACACGGTATGACACAGGGGATGACACGGGATGTGATACATTACTCTCGTGGTACAAGAAAAGGGGCAAGACACAGGAGCCGACACCAGAAACGACCACTCGTACATGACAAAGATTATGACATGACGCCTCGAACAACAGGGTGCGTGAGTTGAAAAGAGAAGGGTTCTATTGAAACTGGGCCTCCCTAAAGTCGTAAATGAACCCAGCGAAGAAGCTGGGTGTTGCAACCGTACCTAGAATCTGTTGTGACCGTACCGAGCGAAGAAGCCGAGAGTTGTAACGGCCATGGAGGGGAGGAATGCAGGAAGGGAGAGGGGACGTGCGGGAACGGAAGCAACGCCGAAGGAGGGAGGCACTGCAGCTAACGATGATGAGACGATTACTGAAAAAGGGAAAGACAAAAAAAAATAGGGTCGGGATGAAACAAAGCGCAAGAGAAAAATGTCAGAATACTAGCTAAAAGAGATGCATTTGAAAGCCTTAAGACAAAGGAAATCTATCGCATATCCAGCATCAGGTAGTAAGGTAACAACTTTTCTTCGGTGCTGTCATATCTTACCTGATTTTCTCCTCGATTTCACAATGCGATCCGTCGCTATCCGCGGCGCGTGACTCTGGTCGAAACGCGGTTTCGCGTATGGAAGCATAGCTGCCGCCATGTGGACGGCTAACAAGAAAAAAAAATGAAAGTACAAAACAAAAACTTGGTCGAAAGTTTACGGTTTTGCGAGCCCAAACCAGCGGAACAGGGAGAAACAAGATACCTTAAAATATATAAACCTAATCCAACGTCACCAGTGCGAGCTCCAACCTAAAATGCGGGTTTCACCATAGAATATGTTTTCTAATCTGTCTGGAACCTTGGCGGTTCCTAATCCTAATGGCGTGGAGGTATGGTAGGCCCTGATCACATTTTACAGTGTTTTGGATAAAGCTATGGATGGCATCACACACCCGTTGCTTGGGCTAGCCCATGAGGCAGTGTTCAGAAACTTCGGGAAGGGTCAGACTTCGTTCCCATACAATTCAGTGTTGGCGGTGGATAGTTATGTTAGGGCGTCGTCAGGTTGTACAACTTTTTGTACGTCCACTGCAGTAAACTTCGGTTCAACACGGTGCAGAGCGGTAAAGGTCGAAACCGCTTTTCACCGTGTTTGACCGTTATGAATCACGTTACAAGAACTGTTAACCCATGAGAAATGTATAACCTGACGTCACCCTGCGTTTTGAAGCGGTTTGCCTGATCCACCACTTTGAACCGGACCCGACAGTTGATTGGGATCTGGTACTGAAAACAAACTAGGTCCGAGAAGAACTGATTAGGCGTGGAGCTCCAGAGAATCATGCCAACGAGTTAGATTGTGTGCGAAGATTGTCGCCGGCATTTCGCGAAAGCCCAGCCACCCTCGCCACACATGCTTCTCTGGCAGTTCGCCAACTCATTTTGATTCTCGTCAGCGCTCTTCCCCCCTGTGCGACATAAGGCCACAGTCGTTTCTCGCCTTTCTCCCTCCTCCCCAGCCGTGCTGCGATTTTCCCTTCGCCTGTTTTGTTTCTGTTTATGGCACAGCGATGGTGGAGTGGAATTTATGGTGGCGCGGAGGAACCCTATAAATGGCCTCCATGTGCGAAGCGGCGCTGAGCAATGCAAAGCTTGGAATCCAGCAACGCAATGGCGCACGGTTTCAAGCGCTGGTTCAGATGTATGACATGATGATGACTTCGCCTTTCCAAACTCCAATGTTCCCAGTCAGTCTTGCCTTCGATTTGCACATGTTTGAAGCAGTCACTGTGGCTACGGAAAGCACGCGGTGACTCGTGCTCGCGGACGACGTTCCGTTTCCAAGAATTGACGAAGCGCGTTGAAGAATTTCTCTCCCGCATGACCAGCCAGCCAGCCAGAGGCCGCTACGCGCATTCGATAACGGTTTTCAATCCTCCTCTTGCTCACTTACTTTGCAACGCGTACCTGGATTCTTTTTCCAGTATTTGAAATTGCTCGTTTCTGTGACATCTTATTCCTTTATATTGAGACGGCTAACAATTTTAGGATCTGTAGTTTGCTCGTCTCTTGACATCTTTATCATGGAGCGAACTACCTTTAGCTGTCTACTAATCTGTGAGCACCTACTATTTCCTCCCCCTTCGCAAGTACATCGCTTCTAAGGCACCCACTATTCCCGCCCTTTCACAAAGGGCATCCAAGCCTCTGCCGCTCAAACGCAGCGTGCTTCTAACGAGACCGCGCCCTGTCCTGTGTCTCCCTGTAAATTGTGCAGGTGTCTTAATAACGTTCCTCACAACTGCCAGTGCAGCAGCGTATGCCGCACCGTCGCTTCCAACGCCTGCTGCACCGTCGTTCCCGGCGTCCCTCTTATCCTCGTCATTCCCGGAGTCCTTCTCAATCTCGTCCCTTGCAGCTTCCGATGAGTCGTTCCTTCCAGGCGGTCTCCCTGTCGCGTCGTCCACACAGAGCGCGACTGCTCCGAAAGGAAAAGTGTTCAGTGAGTGCTTCCAGTCAGCCACGCAAGGGGAAAAAAAAAAAAGTAGAACACCCTGAAATCGGCTCCCTGTCGCGTTGTCCACACAGAGCGCGACTGCTCCTAAAGGGAAAGTTTTCAGTGAGTGCTTTTATTCAACCCAAGCACGAATTTGTTTCGCTCAATTCTTTGGTTTACTGCACTATCACATGCATAATTATTTTAGGGTCGTTCCAGGGCCATAGCAAGATGCGGCAGAACACAGGCTACATGTCCTTTTTCGTTACAGTAGAACGCACCCAAGTGCTTTGCTATTATCGTATAGAGATGAACCTTTCTATCCCATTATGCTTGCCTGCCGCCCGATTCCATTTTCAGTGCGCTATGCCTGCAAGTTGAGCCCCCCCCGTAGCAATGGAAATATTGTTGGTGACCTGGCAGCTACGGGAAAATACTCGTTGAAGGGAGTGGAGTGAGTGAAGTTTTGTTGCTTGTTTTTTTCGTATATATCCAATCCGGTGCAGCTCTTCTTGCATTTGCACTTTAATTGGCATTCAGTGCTTCATCTGTATTATATTGCGTGTGTATTGTGTATTCTCCTGAACCTGATCCATTGTTACTATGTATGGGGATCCTGTCCTGTGCCTACCATTTTCCCGAACATGGTTGGCGCGGGCAGGTCCTTTGCTCCAGAATGTAACATTGTGGAGAAGATAGGAGTTGACAACGTGTTGACTTTTGAGTCTACCAAAAAATCTACCATTCTCCTCCCAACAATGTGTGGCTGGCAGGTCCTCTCCTTCAGAATGTTACGTTGTGGAGAAGGTACGAGTGGATAACATCCGATCAGGAGGAATCCAGCCCTTGCTTTTGCCTTTCGCTTCGTGCCTTGCTGGAAAATATTACAAGTTAACGAATGCCCCACTTTGGAAGAACGTCACAAGCAGCTGGAGTGGCTTGTTCAAGTTCTACAGCTTTGCTCTCTTGGTGCTTCGCGGCCCAGCTTCAAAATCCTTGGTGCATGAATTTGTGCAACAGTATAGTGATATTTTGATGAAGAACCGGTTGTATCTTGTTGTGTCTCATCCAAAAAACAACCATGCTCTCTGTGGGAGGATACGGAAGGGACGCTACGCTTCTAGCGATGGCTTGCGAGCTTTGTGATTAGTGTCAGAATCCCAGCCACTAACCACTGGGATAAAAGGGCTTGTTTGTGTAGCGGGTGAGTGCGCCCATAACCCCCCAGGCCGCCGTGCCTGTAACCCTTCCCTAGGATCAATCGGGGATCACCAGTGGACCTCTGACACCCCCCCGCACTGGGATGCCCGAGGTGCACACACCGGGATTCGAACCCGAGACCTTCGCTCTGATACCATGTCAGAATCCCAGCCACTAACCACTGGGATAAAAGGGCTTGTTTGTGTAGCGGGTGAGTGCGCCCATAACCCCCCAGGCCGCCGTGCCTGTAACCCTTCCCTAGGATCAATCGGGGATCACCAGTGGACCTCTGACAATCAGGAACTAATGAGGAAAGCTTGCTTTATTCAATTATTAGATGGCTAGCAACTAAAGCAACAACGGGCCTTTTGTACCTGCCAACTTGAACACCAATGCTCATTGAATGCATTGTTCAGTCAGGTCTGGACACACTATACACTAAATATCAATCGGAAGAATTGTAGGTCCTAAATGCACTAAGCCATGGATAGTAAGCCGTTCGTCGCCTGGGTTCGTAAAAAAAGGGGTGTTCACAAAAGGTGTCAGGGCGGTCGAACTCGTTCACTTTCAGTTCAGTGTTTGCGGCTGAAAACGATTTTGTGCGTTTTGAAGCGCGGCTATCTGGATCAATCGTTTTGAACCGCTGCTCACCAGTCTGATACTTGAACTAGGCCTGAACCGCCCTCGGGAGGCAGAACTTTTGGAAAGTGCAGGTTCATGCCTCCCAGCTGAACCTTCTTGGAAGGCGAAACGCTAGACAAGTTCGATTATCTAAGAAGGTTGTCGCCAGCATTTCGCGCGAGCCCTTTGAAGTTTGCCACACCTGCCTCTCCCCTCATTTCGCCAGCTCATCTCGTCAGCGCTGTTCCCCATCGGACACCACGCCAGCAAACCTTTTCCACCCCTCCCCCCAACCGCACTGCTATTTCGCCTCTCTTCTTCCTTTCTGTTGGTGGAATGATGGAAGAACCCTACGCATGGCTGGCCGCGTGTGCTATGAATGGTGCACTTGGAATCCAGCAATGCAGCGGCACACTTTAGCCAAGTTCGCATCTGCCCTTCAAAGTGCACACGATTGAACCAGCGCATGGTGCGCACTTACGGCAACAACGTTCCGTCCTAGAATTGCCGAAGTTGCGTTGTACGTAGAATCGTGCTCGACTAGCCAGATACCGTAACGCGCATTCGGTTATGGGTTTCAGTCTCGTTCTTGCTCGCTTCCCGAAGCGATCCTGGATTTATTTTCTCGTTGTCCTGTCGCTGCTCGTTTCTTTGCCGCTCAAACGCAGCGTGCTTCTAACGAGACCTCGCACTGCCCTGTGCCTCCGTCTGCAGGTGTGCTAGTAACGGTGCCGTTCCGCACAACCGCCGGTGCAGCAGCATCTGCTGCGCCGTCTCTCCCAACGCCCTTACTCTCGTCATTCCCGGAGTCCTTCTTACTCTCGTCCCTTGCATCAACGTCATCGTGTATAGGAGGTCTGTCAGAATGTGATGTTTGTCTAGCCTGCAGTGGGGTACTCTATAGCGAGTACAGCCCAAATTAGGGTTTGCTATATGTACTCAACTGCCTGCTAGTGAAAACCTCTCTGTGCTGTTTCTCGTTTTCGACTGCTATCTTGACATGCTATCAGAGCAGGTCGACCCTCCTGGGTCGATCCTGTGGGTGGTCCCGCCCGATGCTTCCGCTGCTGTCTTGTGTGTCGCGCGCCCCGTGGCGCGCGACGGATTTTTCTTCCCGCCACGCGCTCGGGGCGCGTGGCGGTTTTCTGCTCGCCGCGCGCACGAATCGCGCGGCGGTTTTCTGCCCGCCGTGCGCCCCGAGGCGCGCGGCGGTTTCCTACCCCGTCGACCCGCGCGTCGCCCCCCGTCGCCCGTCGAAGCGCCCCCCGTCGCCCGTCGAAGCGCCCCTGGGCCCCGCGCGGGCCGCGCGCAGCCCGTACGACCTGCGCCAGGCCCGCGCGCGGCCCGTACGGGCTGCGCCAGGCCCGCGCGCGGCCCGTACGGCCTGCGCCAGGCCCGCGCGCGGCCCGTACGGGCTGCGCCAGGCCCGCGCGCGGCCCGTACGGGCAGCGCTAGGCCCGCGCGCGGCCCGGGCGGCCCGCGCGCGGTTCGTTCGGCCTGCGCACGCCGTCCCCCGAGCTGCTGACCGCGCCCCACCCCTGCTGCTGCCCGCGCTCCTGTTTTAGGGTTTGGGGGTGGAGAGTATGGGGGTGCCGTGTGTGTGAGCCGTCCCCTGCTCCTCCTCCTCCTCCGTCTCCCACTGCTGCAGCTGCCGCTGAGGGGGGTGGATGTGTTGGAGCCGTCGGAGTTGTACGAGGGGGGTGGCGTGTGAGCAGTGCTAGAGGTGCAGCAGGGGGTGTGTGACACGGGTGTGGGACAGCTGGGGGAAGTTGAGTGGAGGCAGTCGTCTTGTCGTCCGCAGCGCCTGAAGTCCAGAGAGCCACGACCCCCTGTGGCCTGAGTAGTCCGGGGCTCTGCGCCCGGTAGCCACAGTGTGAGCACTCCTGGTAGTCCAGAGAGCCACGACCCCCTGTGGCCTGAGTAGTCCGGGGCTCTGCGCCCGGTAGCCACAGTGTGAGCACTCCTGGGAGCACAGAGAGCCAGCTGCGCCTGTCGCCGTGTAGTCCGGGTTTAGCCTGGTAGCGACAGTTCTGCGCACTCCTGTTGCCCGTGTGTCTGCAGTTTCAGCCGTCGCCTCCTATCTTCTCGCCCCACAGTTTCTCCTCCTCCTCACTTGCCCTCTGTGATAGTCTCTAGCTTTGCTTACAAATGTGAACTACTGCTTTGCCTGCTTGTTGTGTTGATTGTACCCCACTTTGACTATGGGGGTGTGTCAGAATGTGATGTTTGTCTAGCCTGCAGTGGGGTACTCTATAGCGAGTACAGCCCGAATTAGGGTTTGCTATATGTACTCAACTGCCTGCTAGTGAAAACCTCTCTTTGCTGTTTCTCGTTTTCGCCTGCTATCTTGACAAGGTCTTCCTGTCGCGTCGCCCACACAGATCTCGAATGTTCCGAAAGGAAAAGTTTTCTGTGAGTGCTTCCGATCAGCCCAAGCACGAGAATGTTTCACTCAATACTCCGCCTGATTCTTTTTCTAGGTATCACGCATGGAAATCTGGTCTACTGCTAGATTGTGCCATAAAGCATCCACTGTAATGCACGATAACGTACCCAGCTGCGTCGATAATTCTTTGTCTCATCATGCTTTCTTTCCACCCAATTCCATTTTCAGTGCGCTATGTGGCCAAGTTGAGACCCACCCGTAGCCACTGACGACTTTTGAGACGTCTCAAAAGAGCGATAGTCCTTCGTCCCATTGTGCGTGCCGTGCATTCCACCTGATTCCATTTTCAGTGCGCTATGTGGTCAAGTTGAGACCCACCTGGAGCCATGGAAAGATCGTTGGTGACCTGGCTGCAACGGGAAAATACTCGTTCAAGGGACTGGAGTGAGTGAAGTTTTCATTTCTTGCTTTTGATATTCAGTTTGGTGTAGCTCTTCTTGCATTTGCATTCGTCTGCCATTCAGTGCTTCATTTGTAATATACCGTATTCTCCCGGATATAAGACCCTAGGGTCTTATGAAAAATTCAAGAAAAAAGTGGGGGGGGGGGTCTTGTCAAAGGCAACTAATGATATAGTACCCGGGTCTTATCATATGGACATATTTTTAAAATGTGCATTCAAATGCTTCATAGATGGGGATCCTCGCGATTTTTTTTCCATCATCAGTAGGTCCGCAAATGTGAGCATCCAAAATTAAGGTACATCACACTGAAAACTGCCTGTGGCCTTTTCCTTCAGATCTAGCTATGGTCATAAGATTGAAATCTGGCTATTGTTTTCTCCCATGTTTGCTATTGTTTTTCATGAACAGTCAACCTTGTGTGGGTCTAATGGGCCTAAATATGTGTTCACACCCTTATCATGATAGAAAAACACATGAAAATGCATCAAAATCAGAAAAAAAACACTAGTGTACACGTTTGGGGGAGGGTCTTGTAATGTTTACCCCTCTAGAGGGGGGTAAAGTGGAAACCTGCCAAAATAAAAGACCCACCCCCGTATTACAGACCCGGGGGTCCTGTATTCCGGGGGGTCTTATATCCGGGAGAATACGGTATTGTGTTTTCGCCTGATCCTGGTCCAAATATTTAGTGAAGAACTTTGACTTAATGTTTCAGAGGATCGTGTCCTGTGTCTACCATTCTCCCAATGATGTGCGGGGCGGCAGGTCCTCTGCTTCAGAATGTTACTGTCAGAATGTTATGTTTGTCTAGCCTGCAGTGGGATACTCTATAGTGAGTTTAACCCAAACTAGGGTTTCCTATATGTATCCTACCTACTGCTAGTGAAACCCCTCTTTGCCTATTTCTCGTTTTCGCCTACTATCTTGACATGCTATCAGAGCAGGTCGACCCTCCTGGGTCGATCCTGTGGGTGGGCCCACCCGATGCTTCCGCTGCTGTTCTGCTTCTCGCGCGCCTCGGGCGCGTGACGTTTTCAGCCTGCCGCGTTTTTAGGGTTTCTACGATTTTCTGCTCGCCGCGCGCTCCGAAAGCTCAGCGGTTTTCTGCCCGCTGTGCGCCCCGAGGCGCGCGGCGGTTTCCCACCGTCGAAGCGCCCCCCGTCGCCCGTCGAAGCGCTCCCCCCCCCCCCCCCCCCGTCGCCCGTCGAAGCGCCCCCGTCGCCCGTCGAAACGCCTCCGTCGCCCGTCGAAGCGCCCCTCGGCCCCGCGCAGGCCGCGCGCGGCCCGTACGACCTGCGCCAGGCCCGCGCGCGGCCCGTACGGCCTGCGCCAGGCCCGCGCGCGGCCCGTACGGCCTGCGCCAGGCCCGCGCGCGGCCCGTACGGGCTGCGCCAGGCCCGCGCGCGGCCCGTACGGGCTGCGCCAGGCCCGCGCGCGGCCCGGGCAGCCCGCGCGCGGTTTCGTTCGACCTGCGC